AGGATGGTCTTGATCTCCTGACCTTGTGATCCGCCCGCCTCGGCCTCCCAAAGTGCTGGGATTACAGGCGTGAGCCACTGCGTCCGGCCTTTTTTTTGAGACAGAGTCTCACTCTGTTGCCCAGGCTAGTGTGCAACGCCGCAATCTCAGCTCACTGCAACCTCAGCTCACTGCCACCTCCTGAGTTCAAGTGATTCTCCTGCCTCAGCCTTCCGAGTAGCTAGGACTACAGGTGCCCACCACCACACCCAGCTAATTTTTGTATTTTGAGTAGAGACGGGGTTACTAATTTTCAGTGGGTGAATCTGAATGAATTGGCTGAAAGGGTAATTATATTGTTTGAATTGCTAAGAATCCTTGACAAACTATTCATTTTAAATACATCTCACCACAACCACTCACCTCACCACAACCACTCACCTTTCCACTCCCCACCCTCTTATGGGCAGCCAAGGAGCTTTATTTGGGGACCATGCCCAGGAACACAGGCAGCGGGACTAAGGCCCACAGAGATGATTCCAGGCGTTCAGGGTCCCGTGGCCCTTGCAACCAACCAGCTTTGCTACCAGCCCTTCCCAGATGCAACTCCATTGCTGGATATCCAGGTCCCAAAGCCATTCCAGGATATCTCACTCCCTTCCCAGAGAACTGTTTGATACACGAAGAGTTTTACAAAATCCAAAATAATTTTATTCACATTTTCAGATTTTTGCTTCCACAAGGTGTTCAGCAAACATGCTAAGGCGACAGAATGTCTAGTTGGTCACGACATGCAACGCTGACCACTCAACTGATGACAGCAGTGACCACGCCCACCTGAGCTACCAGCCCCACAGCACAAAGGGGGTTTGCGGGAACACACCAAACCACACAGCAACCAGCAACCTGAGGTAGGTCTCTTTACAGTACAAAAACTTCTACGCCAGTGTGAGACACTGATTAGCAAGAGCTGCTTCAAGTTGCAGACTTTGGGGGGAGAGAGAGAGAGACTGTGCGACAACTGCGGTGAGAAAGGAAAACAGACCCACGGAATCCTGAGCCCTGCCACTGAACTGTGGAGGTGTGGGAAGAGGCAAATGAAAAAGCGCCACCTCAAAAAGCAGCAGTTGGCTCCGGGGCTTGGAACCAACAGGTCTTGGAGCTGGAGAGCTCTGTGCAGTGGCCAGCTGTAGGAACCTGAGGCAGTGGGACTCTCTGTGGATAGACTGATTCTTGTTTAGAAACAACAGCAAAAAGAAGAAGGCAGGAAAGAAACTCCCTGGCTCGGAGGAATGTCTCTGTGATTCCCATTCCCAATGGAGGGAGTGAAAAGGGGCCCGGGCTTCGCCCCGCTGCTCTCCTGACAGAAACAGTAAGTGACACCAGGACAGAAGGCAGGAGCCCTGAGAACTCACGGCGCTCTGCATGGTCTCCAGCTGCCCACCCCGCTCCACCCACCCCTGGAGTGACCATGGGGAGGTGGCAGAGGGGGCTGTTGGAGGGTCCACTGTTGCCACACGTCTTCCTTTGGACACCCAGAAAACCTGGCACCGTGAAACCACCAGCTAGAGAAGAATGAAATGCTACCCTTCCTACAGTCTAATAGCAAAACCAGATCTCTAGTACAGCAAACTGTACAAAAATGATAGAAAGGAATATGCACTGTTATTAGCACAGTGCTTATTTTAATATAAAATAAACAGCTTACATTTTCACTGTAAATATAGGCTATGTACAGAATTATATATAGATATAGCTACACGTATAAAGCTTCATTATAGGCCTCTGATACAATTATAATAACGGTTCCCTGAACCTTTTAGAGTGCAATTAAGAACAAAAACTAAATTTTGTTTACATGAATATGGAATAAATACAATAATCAAAATATGACTCTCCCTAAAAGTGAAACACACAAGCCAATCTGGAACTGCTGTGCGAAAGATAAAATCGAGAAAGGCAAGGTTTCCGTAGGAGGACGCGATGAGGGGCCCGCCCCAGGCAGGGAATGGCAATGCTCTAAAGAAAAGAGACTTCGTCAACAGGGAGGAGTCAGCCCTTGACAGCGACCTTGTTCTCTGCAGCAGCAAACATGGCATAGAATCGGGAACTGTCGTTGGACAGAAGGACCGATGGGGTGTCAAACTCCACCACCTGCAAGAGAGGGAGACGCCGTCAGGACGCAGCTCTGGGTCATGCAGGGTGATTCAGAGGATTCACTGCTCAGGAAGGGAGGGAAGTCCCAATGCCCCCTAAGGGTAGAATCTGGGGACAATTCAACAAGCCCTGAGTGCACCTCCCCGCTTATTTTTTTATTTTCAACTATCCAGGGTGTAAGGGAAAGGACAGAGAAAACGACTTCCAGCATTTTTACAGTATGCGGTTTTGCCTAATAAAGTATTCTCATAGCAAAAAAAAAAAAAAAAAAAAGAGAGAGAGAAAACGACTTCCAGACCTCCTTCACATATATCCAAATTCCTTCAGCCTTGGGAGCGAAGGAACCAACCAACCAGGTCTATAAACTGCAGGAAGCTGGTGGCTCACACCTGTAATCTCATCACTTTGGGAGGCTGAGGCGGGCGGATCGCCTGAGGTCAGGAGTTCAAGACCAGCCTGGCTAACATGGTGAAACCCTGTCTCCACTAAATATTCAAAAATTATCCTGGCATGGTGGTGGGCGCCTATAATCCCAGCAACTTGGGAGGCTGAGGCAGGAGAATCGCTTGAACGCAGAAGGTAGAGGTTGCAGTGAGCTGAGACTGCACCGCTGCATGCTAATCTGGGCAACAGAATGAGACTATCTCAAAAAAGTAAAACAAAATAAAATAAAAAACAACAGGCTGGGTGCGGTGGCTCATGCCTGTAATACCAGCACTTTGGGAGGCCGAGGCAGGCGCATCACCTGAGGTCAGGAGTTTGAGACCAGCCTGACCAACATGGTGAAACCCTGTCTCTAGTAAAAATACAAAAATCAGCTGGGCGTGGTGGCACATGCCTGTAATCCCAGCTACTGGGGAGTGTGAGGCAGGAGAATTGCTTGAACCTGGGAGGCGGAGGTTGCAGTGAGCAGAGATCGTGCCATTGCATTTAAGCCTGGGCAACAAGAGCGAAACTCAGTCTCAAAAATAAATAAATAAATAAATAAATTAAATTAAATTAAATAAACTGCAGGGGAGAGAAGTTGCAGCTGAAGTCAAGGGCACACCAGACAAATGTCATTTTGTTATACAAGCTGATCTAACCCTATAGAGGGAAATGGAAGAGCTCAGAATGTCTAGTTGTCAGGGAAAAAAAAGGAAGTCAGGGAGTGACTTAGTCAAGTGGCCATTCCTATGATGGACATCTATGCAGCCACGGAAAATCACGTGGCAGCAGAACCCTGAATGATATGCTGGCAGAACCCACCTCCTGTGGCAGAGGCTGAAATGCATATACCCAACTATCTCAGCCTCCCCCGCCACAGGGCAAAGGCATGGAACGTAACCTTGGTTAAGGAGATGTGAGAGGAAGTCTCCTTGGTGCTTCTAGGAGAGGGTGTCCTGCCCAGTGGACAGGTCACGAGGAGAACGTGAACGTGTCCTTTCTTTGGACACATGTCCTTCCCTTGGTTGGGGGCTTGAGCAGGCATCCTGTACTGGCAGGGGAAGGTGAGTACTGGTTGAGAGTGACGCAGAGCCCCACACTGCTGGGCTGCACAAAAACCAACCCTCTGCCCTCCCGTTTGCCATGTGGGATAACAAAATCCTATCCTCCAAACCCCTTTTAGTCTGGTATTTTATGTCTACAGCAGAGAGCATCCCATCTGTTGGAGTCTGTGTGTGCAGATGCATGAAAAACACGGGGTAAGTCAGTGTATTACAATGCTCATCTCTGGGGGCAAATGGCTTACCATCCTGTTTTTGCCTTTATGCTTTTTTGGTGTTTTTGGTTTTTTTTAGGCTTTCCTAAAATTACAAGGAAATTTTAATTAGCAAGAAAAAAATTAAGGAAAGAGAAGGATAGAGTCTCTCATAAAGAGTGAATCGGCTCCCCACTCCAAAACATCAAGCCGACTATAGAAAGAAAGGGATCTCAATTTGTGTCCTTAAGAAAGAATTTCTGGCTGGGCACGGTGGCTTGTGCCTGTAATCCCACCACTTTGGGGGGCCGAGGTGGGTGGATCACCTGAGGTCAGGAGTTCAAGACCATCCTGGCCAACATGGTGAAACCCTGTCTCTACTAAAAATACAAAAATTAGCCAAGCATGGTGGCACGTGCCTGTAATCCCAGCTGCTCGGGAGACTGAGGCAGGAGGATCACTTGAACCCTGGAGGCAGAGGCTGCAGTGAGTCAAGATTACATCACTATACTCCAGCCTGGGCAACAGAGCGAGACTCTGGCTCAAAAAAAAGAATTTCCCAGATGTTCTTGGTCCCATCTATTATACCTTACTAGGCTCTATTTTAACACTTATGTACAAAGTAGTAGCTCAATATATCTTATGTATGACAGAATCTCAGTGAACACTTAGTTTAAGGCAAACAAAGATAGTCACAAAAAACACTAGTGCGAAAATAATTTCAAGATGAGGAGAAAAATCCTTAGCCCCCAAGTTCTCTCAATTCAGCTTTGAAGCCCAGGCTGAACCTGCCCTATTTAACACTTTTCTCAATATTTCTCCACAATTTAGACAGTGTGCTGGCAGTGGGGTTGCTGGCCTGAGTCCTGTCCCATCTCCTTCACTTCCTTTTTAAAAATCCCACCAATTTTTATTGTTTTTTTTTTTTTTTTTTTTTTGGAGACAGTCTCACTCTGTCACCCAGGCTGCAGTGCAGTGGCACTATCTCGAATCACTGCAACCTCCGCTGCCTCCCAGGGTTAAATGATCCTTCCACCTCAAATTCCTTAGTAGCTGGGATTACAGGTGTGTGCCACCATGCCTGGCTAATTTTTTGTATTTTTGGTAGAGACGGGGTTTCGCCATGTTGCCCAGGCTGCTCTCGAACACCTGAGCTCAGGCAATCTGTCCACCTCGGCCTCCCAAACTGCTGGGATTACAGGCGTGAGCCACTGCACCCGGCCTACTCCACTTCCTATGGACTTCCCCTGAGACTTTGTCTCCTCATCTGTAAAGTAGAATTCACGCTATGTCTCTCTCTAGGTTGTTGTGATGACTGATTGAATTTTGAGAGATTATATGTAAAGCACTAAGCACAGTGCCTGATACACAGTAAACATTCAACAGAAGTAGCCATTATAGTAGCTGTTGCTGTGGTAGCTTCTACAATAGAAGACATGTTACCCATTATAAATGTCTTGCTATTTCCTCCAAATTATTAATTTACTTTTATCCTAGGGGCACACAAAGGAGGTATTTGTCTAACATAAATGTACTTAACATCACCTGTGCAAAGAACTGTAGTGCTAAACACTGCTGGGCCCTAAAGATGAATGAGCGGTGACTCTGCCTCAGAGAGCATTCAGGGAGTTTTCTAGGGAGACAGGGCATTGCACAATTCCTATCAGCTGAGGCAGAAGAGCTACAAGAGAGGTACAGATACAGCCTGAGGCAGCTGAGGCAGCCAGGGGGTTTCATGGAGGCTTTGGCATCTGGGCCATGTCATTCTTCAGGGACAGGCAAGTTGTGAGCAGGTGGATATGGGGGAGAGAAGGGCAAAGGGCCTTTTAGGCAGATGGAACTGTCTGAGTAAAGACAAATAAAAAGCTTAGAGAATGCAAGATGTCCATAGCCAATGGCGCCTGTAAGGGAAGAGTGGAAAATGAAGAAGGCAAGGCTAGGGCCAGGCTGTGGGAACGCCTGAAACAACAGGGTAAGAAGTTTGGCGCTGCTACATGATTGCAAAAAGGCAAACATGTGCTAGCTGGTCTCAATAGGCCTCTGTGGGGGTGATCACTGTGGATGTGAATGAGTCACTGAGTATCTATACTCTCTGGCCCAAGTATGCCAGGGGTGATCATTGTGGATGTGAATGAGTCACTGGGTACATGTACCAGGGATAATTGTGTATGTGAATGAATCACTAAGTATCTATAATCTCCGGCCCAAGTATGCCAGGGGTGATCACTGTGGATGTGAATGAATCACTAAGTACATGTACTCTCTGACTTAAGTCAAAGTGTCACTACTCACAAGCAACAAAAGGACAAAGAGTAAAGTAAAATGAGAACCCCATCAGAGTGTGCCTGAGTAATCTTGTGATTAGGAGGCTGCATCCCTCCCAATAGCAACTAAATAGAGTTGCTGCAAGTGCTTATCTGAATGCCCAGAACGCTACAAAGATGGCACTCAGTCCATCCCTGCCAGGAGCCAGTTTCCTCCCAGATACGCCAAGCCAAAGTCCCTGAAGGACTTGGTACCTGTCCCTGGGCCAGCACCATAATCCTATCGGAGCCTAGAACCGTGTGCAGGCGATGGGCAATGGTCAGCATGGTACAGTCTGCAAATGCTTCTCTGATGGTCTCTTGAATCAATAAGTCTGTCTCTGTGTCCATGGCAGCTGTAGCTTCATCTAAAATCAGAATCTGCCAGAGAAGCAGAGGAGAAAGAAACTCGATTAAATTCCTTAAGCATTCTGGTTAATCTAGATTTTACCAAAATGTATTTGATTATTAAGTTTTATACCATCTACTGTTTTTTTTCTAAGTAAGTACACATATATGTAAAAATATCCTTTTACTTAGAAGTGATACAACTTCAAAACCATGTTTGCCTTGATTTCCATAACAGCATATTTGTATAATACTGATCTAGGCTGGGCTCATGCCTGTAATCCCAGCACTTTGGGAGGCCGAGGTGGGTGGATCACCTGAGGTCAGGAGTTCAAGACCATCCTGGCCAACATGGTGAAACCCTGTCTCTACTAAAAATACAAAAATTAGTCTGGCATGGTGGTGGGCGCCTGTAATCCCAGCTACTCCAGAGGCTGAGGCAGGAGAATCGCTTGAACCCGGGAGGTGGAGGTTGCAGTGAGCCGAGATTGTGCCACTGCACTCCAGCCTGGGGACAAAGCAAGACTCCGTCTCAAAATTAAAAAAAAAAAATACTATGTCTATGGTTTGCAGTTGTACAAAACTACTCAATGGCCAGAAACAAAAGTCAGTCTTGGATGAAGTTAAAAACAAAGCAACCCCTGTTCTCCCTCCCCAAAACCCGATATACCCAAACCCGATATACCCAGAACCAATATACCCAAACTCGACATACCCAAACCGATATACCCCAAAACCGACACACCCGAACCCGACACACCCGAACCCCACACACCCGAACCCGACCCTGACATACCCAAACCCGACATACCCGAACCCGATATACCCACACGGTGTCAGGGTTAGAGTTCTCACTGGCCATGCTCTTAGAAAGCGCCAACAGGGTTCACAGCCAGGAATACCTTTGGACCCCACTGTGTCAGGGAAAGGCTGCACTAAAACGCTGCCATTCTCTGCTGCCGCCCCTTCCCTGCCAACCATGAACTGCCTTACCTTACAGTGGCGGAGCAGGGCTCTTGCTATGCACAAAAGCTGCCGTTCCCCCACTGAGAAGTTATCCCCGTTCTCCATCACTTCAGATTCAAGTTTCAGAGGTAGCTGAGCAATCTAGGGAAAAGGAAAGTAGAGATCGGAGGGGTAAGAAACTAAGCTGAATTTCCTGAAAATCCAAGGACAACAAGAAATTATTCTGAAACAGATGAAAGAACTATTAGCCAAGAACCTGCCTCATCTGGAACGAAGGTGCAGGTGTACTGATCATGCGCACTAGGACCCACTTCCAAGGCAGTCCATGATTCCAATAGACTATTCTGTTAGCTTTATACCATTAAAACATCCCAGAAATTCCAATGATTTCATGTCCCCAAAATCCAGTCAGATAGTGGGCCTTAAGTTTTGGTTCTGAAAATACGGTCATGCAACAGGAAATAGAGTAAGGAAAAGTACTCTCCTTTTGAAGTCCAAAGCTGTAGGCCCGTGACTGTGAAACATTTTTTGTAAGCTGCAGAACTTACTCTTCAAATGAGAGGAATCCCGGTAGAGGAAAGGAAAAAACAGAGCTCATCTACTAATAGTTGAATTAGGGCAGGGGATCC